CTTTATTTTTGTTCTTGGTCTATTTGTGGAACAGCATGTCACTAATTAAGCCCAACTTATTATTCCTATATTGTATAGATCAGCAGACCTCTGGTCTTCCACAATCTGTTAAAAATTTACATATATCCCAGTATTTTTTTTAAGTCCGCAAACGTGCAAACTACAACGAAAAACCCGTAAGTGATCACAAAAAATGTGCAAGTGCGAACACCACACGAAAAAGTGCACTTAGGGGTGTGTTTGTCCTACCCCCGAAAGGGTTGGACCGTTCACCCGATCCCCCGGGGCACGAAGCTCCTGACAGGGACAAGGTTCCCATTTGGTCCTCCTGGCCAAAAGGCCTGGTGGACCACCGTTCCTTATGCCCAGCCGAAGCCGGACATCCAGTACTAGGCAAGGGGGTTCTCCCGAAGAGAAAACCCCCTAGGGATCAGGGGAGGAAGGAACCGTAGGGCCACACATCCTCCCCCTAGACTTCAGGTAAGGCCCGAGGATCCACACCCTCCATCCGTGAAAAACACACACATAAGAACAGAAAAAGTGACAAAACGTGGGAGTGATTAAATAAAATAAATAAAAAATAAAAAAGTGGTACCGTGCCTAATAGTGCACAGACCAGGCCCTGAGGCCTGTAGCAAAAATTGCCCCGGACTTAGCCAAAAGACCTGGTCCTTAGGGCGCTGTGCAAAAAGAAGTGAAAAACAGTGGCCATGTGTCATCTTCACACCGTGGGGTCCCACACCCAAGTGTTACTAGTGACACCCCTGAGAGCATCTTCCCCAGGGGGCACTGAGTTTGCGGACTTTTTGCGTCCCCAGCCCCAGGCCAGACCAAGGTAGATCCGTCCAAATCAGGAGGTACTGGGTCTTTCCAGCTTTCCCAGAGGAATTACTCCCAAGGTCCCAGAGCGTATCGTGGCGCCCCCTGGTTTCTGTCCCTCTGGTCCAGCCTTCCGGACCCCCATCATACCAGTGAGGGTACTATACAACAACCATCCCCGCAAAGCTAGAATGGTCGGGAGCACCCCCACTGGACACTGATAAGAACAGATACTACACTTGATCTTAGCCAAAAGGCCGAGAAGCGATATATCCCAGTATACCTCAGCTAGACTGACCCAGACCTTGGATGCCATAAGTGACATTGCTTTGCCGTCTCAGTCATGACCCTGCTGAGCTCTGCAGTCCTCCAGTTGATGTGAGTTCATACATGCTTTTATCCTTTTAATAAATGTAAGTGCAATTCTTAATTTACATCCTTCTTTGAAAATTTTTATACATCATACGCTCAAGTGGTGGCGCTTCCTGTGTTTTTGCCATTTACCACAGATGAAGGCAGGGGCCGGGGAGGGGGCACACATGGAGAGAGGGGCCCACCTACAAGGAACAGAGCTGGAAAAAGGAAGAAAGCTCAGAGTTACACGGGGCCCCCAGGAGAGAGGACAACCTGTACAGCAGGTAAGGAGCAGCCCAGTTAAAAGGCCTGGTAGCAGCCACCAACCTATCAGCGGTACAGGAGAGGATCTGAGTGTGTACCCCTGTACCCCCTGGGCAGATAGGGGAAGGAGCACTCTGGCTGGAAAACCAAGTCAGGCAGCACTGCACTGTGGGAGCTGTAGTCCAGAGGAGAGAACTTTTGAACTGCATTTCCCAGACAGAGATTGTCAGAAAGAGGGGAAAGAGCTGCATTTTCTGAGGCTGTATAGGCTTCCTCAGTTTCCTCTTGTTATATAGGAGCCTGGAGAGTGCACATTGCTGTCCAATGTGCTCCACCACTGCTGCATAATGGCAGGCTGAGCAGGATCCAGAGTGCTATGTCCAGGTGTGTCAACACCTGGGTGCAGAGTAGAGAGTGAACTAATTACTTTGTGTGACTGTATGATGAGCTCCAATATCACTGGAACTGGTGAACTGGTGAGCTGCTGCTGTGGGGATTTACTATCTACTGCTAGAGAGACTGAGCCCTTTATGAACTGACCATACAGCCATCTAGTAGACACATTTCTGCCTGCAGGGTGAACTGGAACTATTCGTATGTGAACCAACAGTAAAACTGGGCCCTAACACTAGCTGGCTGAAGAGTTAGGACTAAAGACTGCTCTCAGAGAACATTGCACCATATTCTAGCCATTCTCCTAGAGTGCACTGTAGACTTGTTATAGTATTTTTATTCACATTGCAGTTAAAGCTTATGTGCACTGTTTATTGCTAACTTTTCTGATTCATGAGTTAATCCGAGTCTACCCAGTCTAGTGGTTCAAAACTCTATTCTGTTACCTTGGCATAGTGATTACACTGACTAGTGGACTGTGTCTGAACCCACCTTCTGTGTGTTCTTTTATGCTCACACCACTATTTATTCTAACCCGCACCAATACCTTGAGTTCATTTACCACTAAACAGTCTTGTGTCTATTTCCTGGTGCTAATTCACAGCCGAGTTAAAGATTACACTTGTGTTCCTATAAGTGCTTGCAGTAACTTTCATTCCACCAGGTGTGTCAGAAGGGCTGAGGTTGTTCATGGAGTCGAAACACAGAACAAAGAACAAAGAACACCAAGCAGCTCCTGTGGGGGGTAGCACTGCATGAATTTCTAGTTATATTATTTTAATTTACTATTTTCATTTCAAGGTAATTCAAGGTACATTCAATTATATTTGAACTTTGTGATATAATGTGTAAGATAAGCTAGTTTCTGTTAAAATATGGAACTGTTTAGGTTTGTAATAGTGCTTCAAGGTCACATGCTGACCACAAGGTCTGAGTATACAGCCAGTCTGAACTATTCATATCTACTGTATATAAACTGTATATTATGAGTTATAAACTAGAACAGATTTTACATCACTTTGAGCTCCTGCTTGGTATCTGACTGTGTCTCTCTGCTGCAGCAGCGAATCTATTGGCAATTGAAAACAGCTGATCAACTCTCATTGCTGAACCCTAAATTTATATAATGAAAGTGACCATGCACTTTGCCCATGCAGGGCAATGCTAACAAATTGCTTTAGTATCACCCTTCCATTGCTTCTTGTCCTCACTGCTCCATTCAGCCATCAGAAATGAGGGAAGACATTCCTGTGTAAGTTCGAAAAACAACTTTATACAAGGCTGAGGACTCTTTCCAAGCCCCTCATATAAAAGCAGCTAGCTAATTATCAGGCACCAGTGCTGTTTCCAGGAAAAAGGGGAGCAAGTCACACTCTCCTCCATACTCAAATTAGCCAGATATTTCTCTCTACTTCCATTGGCTGAATGGAGGGTCAGGCAAGCAAAGGGAAAGTGAGTAAATATACTGCTAGGGAGGGGGATATGTACAGTAGGTGATCCTGTTACTTTGCCATGTATGGAAGGTCACATTTAGCATTCTCAAAGTTATTAAGGAGAAGGTACCTTTGGCTATGTGCTTCCTTGCTATTTATATAGCTATTTGTAAAGTTCTAAAAAGGTTGTGAAAACAAAGGCAATGGCATATTATTGCTGTTTTAGCTATTAGCTATTATGCATACAGATATAATAAACAAATATATTTATCAAAAGTCAGTTAGCCTCAATGCAAGAACATTCTCTTATGTAAAGCATTAGTAGTATTAAACCCTCAGTGTTTTTTAACATCCACTCTGGAAGATTTTACCCCCTTCATGATCAGGCCATTTTTTGCTATTTAGCATTTTTTCACACAAATAGAGCTTTCTTGTGATGGTATTTGATCACCACTGAGTTTTTTACTTTTTGCGATATAACCAAAAGAAAAAAGATCAAGAAATGTTGAAAGAAAACTATATTTTTTACTTTCTGCTACAATACATAACCAATAAAAAAAATAAAAAAAAAAAAAAAAAAATCACATTTCTTCATAAATTTTGGCCAAAATGTATTCTGCTACATGTCTTTGATAAAAAAAAAAATACCAATAAGTGTATATTGCTTGGTTTGCGTGAAAGTTATAGCAGCTAGAAATTATGGTATATATACTGGAATTTTGTTTTTTATACTACTAATGGCGATCATCAGTGACTTTTAATGGGCATTCTGGCATTAACTGATGCTGGGGGGAACTGGCTAACTGCCACTGGCATCACCAGTTACATTAATACTGTGATCAGTGATAACACTATACACTATCACTGTACTAATGACACTGGTTGGGAAGGGGTTAACATCTAGGACGTTCAAGGAGTTAAATGTGTGCCTATGTGTAAGTTATGCTTCTTTTTAATAATAGATCTCTCAGTTTCAGGGATGAGAAGCAGAGAGATCATTCCCTCAGTACAGAGCTCTGTGTTGATTGTCAGCAGGTCCCGGCCATGAATCATTGGCTGGGAGTTGCTGTCAGGCTCCCGTCACAGCAGAAGTAGGCTGGCAGGGGCGAGCGCGTAGGCCCAAAGCTGGAAACAGATATCAACCTATGATTACAACGTTTTGCCTGTGCGGGTTGCCCATCCACAGTACATAGCGGGTGGGCGGTCCGCAAGTGGATACTGAGTGCAATAGACTTCAGTAAACTATTTGTTAAATGTCCTAGTCCAGCACATGCAGTTTACAATTTTAATGCTGCTGGCTCCTGCTCTCTCAGTGCTGCTTCATAAACTTCTGGTCTTCACAGGAAAGAGGTAACAGAGGACAGTGCAGAGAGGGGGAAGAGGAGAGAGGAGCAGAGGAGTGCTTCTGTATTTTGATTGATGCACATAGTGTAGGGAGACAACTCTAGTCCCTACATGTAAGGATGGCTCCATAGGATGCTGCAAGAGGAAGGAGCCACCTTTAAACAGGAAAACTGGGGCAGCAGTTTTGGCACCAACTTAAACAGGCAAAGATTAAAAGATAAATAAACTGCATACTAATGGTTAGAATGGTCTGTATATACTGTATTTTATTGGTTTACAGTTTATGCAAAGTTGTGCAAATGATGGGAAACGACTGATAGAATTACAGATTACAAGAATTACAGATGATAGTCATATATTTTTGTAACATGCGGAAACAAAAGCAGACTGTACCTGCTTGCCATATGAGTCATGCACAGGAGAGATAATTCCTCCAATTACAATAAACTTTCCAGTCTTGTGCAGGTAATCTCGTGCTCTCTCTGTAAACAGTAAATAGACCATTATCAAAAAAAATCTAAGACAAATATGGTGAGTATCCACATTTATTACACTTTTGAAGAGTTAGCTGTTGACTGAAATTATGTAAAGAAGTTATTTTTAAATAGATGTGGGAAAGTATGGGTTCTATAGTTATTAAGTAATAACTAATAATTAAGTAATATAGCTCAGTGAAATACATTAAAAGCTGAAGAAGATGGGCTTGGCATATCAGTATGTGACTGCTGAAAATAGAACATTTCTAGAGCATAGCTGATCAGTCTGTGGATATTTTTAGTCAGCTTTGTGAAAGGAAACTGGTCATTTTTACATTACATTTTATTAGTCATTTTCCAAATGGTACAATGCCAACAAGAAAAGAAAAAAAAAATATCAACAACTTAAACTTTGATTAAATTATGACACCTAATGATTCATTTTTAAATATATACCGTATATTTAAAAAAATAAATAAGTAAATACACACACTCATACATATATATATATATATATATACACACATACACACAGGGGTTGGACAAAAATATAAAAAAAAAATTAGTTAAAAGCTGATTGGCTACCATGTACACCTGCACCAGATTTTGCACTCGCCAGTTTTAGTAAATAAACCCCACAGAGTCGTGTCAGAGCTTACTGAGCTTCAAACAGGGCAAATTGTTGGTGCCCGCTTAGCTAGTGCCTCTGTAACATAAGTTGCTGATTTATTTGCTGTGTTGCAAGGTACAGTATTAAAGGTTAAGACGGCATATGCAGTCTCCATAGAAAGCCTAAAGCACAGTCGACATGGTCAACTGACCAAAAGAGACAAAAGGACATTGCACAGGATTCTGATCCAGAATAAGCACACAACTGCTGCAAAAGTGACTGCAGAGCTCAATCTCAGTCTTCCAAAGCCTGTGTCCACAAAAACCGTGCGGAGGGAACTCCATAAGCAAAACATTGACGGGCAAGCTGCAATTGCCAAACCACTAGTGACCGATATTAATGCTCAGAAGAGGAGAGAGTGGTGCAACACTCATAAATCATGAACTATCAACCAATGGAAGACTGTAATATGGTCCAATGAATCAAGGTTCACACTGTTTCCAATCACTGGACTTGTTTACGTGTGGTAAACATCATGCCAAACTTACGATCAGGCCTTTCTTGAGCCAACGGTGAAGCATGGTGGTAGTGCAGTCATGGTTTGGGCACCCATATCTTGGTATTCTGTAGGCCCCATCATCACCTTGAAAGGTAGAGTTACTGCCAGGGCCAATGTACAAATTTTGGTTGACCATGGAGCAGACATTGTTTCCCAAACAAAGCGCCATTTACTAAGAAGATAATACTCTGATTCACACAGCTGGTATTGTCAAATCATGGTTTGATGAGCATGCAGATGAAGTCTTATACCTTCCTTGAGTGTCACAGTCGCCAGACCTCCATATCACAGAGCCAATATGGTCAATTTTGTAGAACAAGGTTCGCCTTGTTTTCTGCTGTGAGAACTGGAACGATTTGTGCATGAAGAGCGGTATCAGATTGCATTATTCACCATCCAGGACTTATATTTGTTAATTCTAAGGAAAATACAGGCCAATTTGGATGCCAAAGGCGATCCAACACCATATTAGATAATGATTTCATTCTTTTACTTGGTGTTTCTATAATTTTGTCCAACCCCTGTGTGTATATATATATATATATATATATATATATATCTTGATTTACTATAACTGGAGAATGCAACATCTGGTGCAACTCTGCATAGAAACCAATCAGCTTCCAGATTTTTTTGGTCAAAGCTTAATTGAACAAGCTGAAGTTAGAAGCTGACTAGCTACCATGCACAGCTGCACCAGATTTTATACTATCCAGTTTCAGTAAACCAACCCTATTGAATAAGTATATACTATAATTATCATAAATGCCAAATATTATAACTCCAACAAAACATAAACTAATATAACGAGTCTTACCACCCATAACAATTTATAGAATAAGGGAGAAGGAAATGTAAAATAGCTTGGTTGCTACAAGGAACAAGGACTTTCAATAATGATAAAAGGCCTATATTGCTATATGTTAAAATACTAAAAAAGATCACATTAATACAATATTACTAAACTGGGCAGGAAAATACACATAGTAATAAAACATTTCATTGTAATGCAAATGACTGATGTCTATGTTAGAATATAATTCAGATTAAAATGACACTAAACAATATGCCAAGCTGCAGTTTCTAAAGTGAGCAAAATCCTCTCTTGTATTAGGAGAGGTATAGACTCCAGAGAGAGAGATATCATATTACCCCGGTACAAATCATTAGTAACACCTCATCTGGAATATGCAGTTCAGTTTTGGGCACCAATTCACAAGAAGAACATTGGGGAACTAGAGAAAGTACAGAGAAGGGAAACCAAACGGATAAGATGCATGGAGGAGATCAGCTATGAGGAAAGATTAGAGGAACTGAATTTATTCTCTCGAGAAGAGGAGATTAAGGGGGGGACATGATAAATACAGCAGTGATTCATATAGTGAACTCGGTGTAGAGTTATTCACCCTGAGGTCATCACAGAGGACATGGAGGCACTCTTTACGTCTGGAGGAAAAAAAATGTAATCTCCAAACACAGAAAGGTTTCTTCTCAGTAAGAGCTGTGAAAATGTGGAATAGACTCCCTCAAGAGTTTGTTCTGGCCAGCTCAGTGGATTGCGTTATAAAAAGGCCTGGATTCTTTCTTGGATACACAGAATATAACTGGTTACTATTTATAGGTAAAGTTGATCCAGGGAATATCCGATTGCCAATCGGGGGATCAGGAAGGATTTTTTTTCCCCTGCAGGAGCAAATTGGATCATGCTTTGCTGGTTTTTTTTGCCTTCCTCTGGATCAACTGTGGGTGTAGGATTATAACTTTTTTCTATAAATGGTTGAACTGGATGGACTTTTGTCTTTTTTCAGCCAGGCTAGCTATGTAATATCCTTATTTAAAAAAAAAAAAAATCTATAGACATCCACTACTTAATAGCCCTGTCTGTTTGCCATGAAATTGCTTCTTACTGTGTTTTTCTTCTCCCTTGTAATGTCCCCCATGAGCACCTGAACCTTCCCCTTTTTTCCCTCAGTGAACAGTTGTGGTCAGGTGCAATGCTCTATGCACACTACACATTCCATAGCCCATAGACCCAAGTCCATCTCAGAAGAGAGAAAAAGAGGGTGGCTACATTGGTACATACAGTGTGAACTAATGTAGCCACTGTTTAACAGGAGGTCGGATCACAGCAGCAAAAAAACAAGGAAATTTTTCAATGGATTTTTATTCGTTAAAACTAGAATTTAGTGTCAGTTTAATCCTTTGCTCTATATGGGGCTATGGTCTGTTTGTTTTGCAAAGGGGGGTTTTTAGCAGACAGCTGAACTTTGACACTTGAACACAGGTATTGTCATCAGCAAAAAACAGTCATAAGATCCAGAGATGAAGGCAGCTAATGTTATACACATATGATGATTCTTTCAGTGAAAGTTGAGCTTGGCTCTACCCACATTCATCTACTAAGCCTCCCTATTTGCCACTGGGGCTGTTCATCACTATGAAATTACTGTTATGGAGAACTGCAGTTCTAGAGGCTTGAGCCAAGCTCAGTCTACTGAATGCTTTGACGTGTTTTTTCTGTCTATGCTGATTCAATAATTTACCTAAAAGAGATACAGGCAGTAAAAAACAGCCCAACAGAGAATTTACCTTTTCCTTACAATGTTTAAAGCTAAAAAGATATTTTGCTGTTGATTTGTGAACGGCAAAGTGCAGTTGCTCCAGAGCTTAGTAAATGAGGTAAAGCTTGACTTTGCAAAGAATACCAATCACATGCATAAAAAAAAAAAAACATTTTTGATTGCACATGATTGGATGGTGGAAATCAGCAGAACTTTTGATCATTTACTAAGCTCTGGAGCAACTGCTCTTGCAGAATTCAACTTCACTCTGCAAAGCGCCTAGTCTATTTGCCTTTAGTAAATCAACCCCTTTGACTTTAGATGCACGTTAACTTATGAAACCATTCATAACTGACTGTTGAAATTGACTTTATAGTTAGTATAACTTGAAAGACCTGATATTTGCACAGATGCATGCCATTATGACAGCTTGGAGGACAAAATGGTTGGACAGATTAGAAAACCTTGTTCTACTGCAACTTGATACTAGCCATACCTCCATTGCCTTGGACAAAAGCTGTCCAAAATGTCATCCTGAAGTGGTTGCGTCACTTCAAAATATTAATTGGTGTCCACAGCCAGTTTTATAGTTTTAAATAAAAGCAAGACACTCAAAAATTTTCAGCCAGCAACAATCCTAGCTACTATCCAAGTTAAAATATTTGACTTTGGGAAGAATATATGCTGGAGAGAAAATCCTGACTCCTAGAAGGCATTAGTTGTGGATTCTGGCAGGCTGGAATGTCTACAATACCATAATGAGGCTGGCGTCAGACACAAAGAACCTGCAGGCTCTTTCAGCACTAGCACTCTGGACAGCTCTCAGCTGAATATAAGTTTTCAGTGCTTGGAGTGCAGCTAATACCGAGTTGGAATATGCCATCCATATCTAAAAGCATACTCTGTTTGACAGAAAAAAAATTTAGGGAGAAACAAGATATTTCCTTTTTTAAACCCCCTACAACCCTTACGCTGGCCATAGATGGGTAGAAATTGCTCAAAAACGTGTTCACATTGTAAAAAGATCTGTCGAATGAGCATGGGATTACACCATCTTTGATACAAATTTTTTTTCCCACATGATGACATATCATCTTTCGTCACTCTACAACATAAAAAGGTACATTTTTGGTCGATTGATTTCACATGCTCATGTGCAGTACGATTTTTCGTGTTATTCCCAATTGATTCCATTACTCACTCTTTGAAAATAATTTGTTGGCACAACATGCCGGTTTGTTTTTTTCACCATAAATCTTTGCATTTCAAGAATCGAAATGAGCCCACTAACATTTAGAA